CTATATCTATCATCTATCTATCTATCATCTATCTATCTATCTATCTATCTATCTATCTATCTATCTATCTATCTATCATCTATCTATCTACCATCTATCATCTACCTACCTACTATCTAAATTCATTTATTTCTCACCAGTCAATATTTACTAATGGACAAACAGTAGTATATGTCAAAAATTTAAGAAAATATATGAAGAAAAAATTTTCAAGTGAGAAAGTTCTAGCCAATAACTTTTTGTTATGTATTTAAGAAAACAGGTTCATTATTTAATCTTAACAGTGAAATCCAAACAATTCCCCTTGACCGCTAACAGCCACTGAATGAGACTTATTCTAAGGTACCTATATGTGTGGGGGTCTTTATTTTTGGCCTCTGGATTCATATTTCTATTTGACATCAGCTTCTCCCTCGGAAACCACCCAAGGTTTTGTTTTGGGTAAATGCCAGACAGCAGGTCTTTTTCCTGTTAACTCCTTGACCACTATTATCTTCACTATGTAAACAGGATCCTGTGGAACCCAGCATGTTAATTAACTTGAGCCCCTCATAGTGGAAGGCTCTACTCTCTTTTAGGGCAATAAATGTTTACATGGAAACAGCCCAATTTAATAAACTGTTTCAACAAAAATGTTATAAAAGGCTCAGAATATTTTTAAAAGCTTTTCTAAGAAATACAATTTTATCTCTACTGTTATTTTCAGAAAATAATTTTATATTGAATTTCATTAAGGATCTACGAAGAATATCACAATTCAAATTTACTATTAAAAGTTAAAGACATTCCCCAAATCCAGAGAGCTATTATTTTAGATCTACTATTTTGATTGGTGAGGGAAATTAAACATACATGAAAACTTATTTTCATGCAAACTTTAAAAAAAATTTCCTTACAGAAAAGCAAGGGCACATGAAAGAGCTCTTCTAGTTTTCTCAAATTCAGTTGAGGAAAAACTGAAAAGTAAAATTAATAAAGTAGAAAAGCATCTGGATAGTAAAAGAGACCCAGGCTTGCATCCACTGTGGCAATTTGTCTGGCCATACGCTCAGAGAACGCAGTAATGAGGAGCAACCCCAGGAGCCCGAATTCAGTGGTATTCTACAGGGAAAGGTGAGTCCTAGTCTTAATTGTTTTAAACATGTTTTCCATTGTTTAAGGAAAAGGAGAATAAAGGTGCTATTCACAAAGAATTCTCCTGGAAAAGTGCTGATGGCTTATATCAGAGCCTACTCGGTTTCACCAGAACTCTGGACAGAGTCTTACCTTGAATATCTGCAACTCCTCCAGGACTACTTCTTCCATATTCCACTTCTCCTTTGAAATGCTGACAACTTTTAGGACCGTTCCAATGTCTGAAAAAAATGTTACCCATGATCCTGCTATTTCTCTTTCAATGTTCAATTGTATGTATATTCCTAGCAACCTTCACGTGACACCCTATTTTTTTTTAAATGTCTTTCAAGAAATCAGATTAAATGAAGCATGCAAGAAGTGGAGCTTGATAAATAAGATTCTCCCTTTCTGAAGTATTGTAGGTTTTATCTGATAAAATACATATTTATAAAGAAAATATTAAAAGACATATGCTAAGAATATATTCCTAATAAAAACAATATCTATGTCTCATTTAAATATTGGTTAAAAGATAGCAAAAATGGAATGATATTTTGAAATTTAATTTAAAAAGTTAAATATATTAAAGTAAAAAATTATTTCAATGTAAAAAATATTTATTCAGAAACTAAAGTTTTGTTTAAAATTATTTTAGTTAAATTTAAGGCTATAAAATAATAATATAAACCCAAAATTAACATTTTAAAAAGATGTCTTAAGTATGAATCTTGTTTTGTAGTTCCTCAAGGTGGCATACGGTGACAGAAAGACAGTCTAAAGAACATTTTAGAAAAAGAAAAGAATCCCACTTGCAAATTAACTTATACCAAATAGATGCCTTTAAAGTTCTAAGCACTGGGGTTGGAGTATATTCACATGGATGGTTAAAATCCTTTTTGCAAAAATTCATCTAGATTATTCACCTCTGTTTTTAAATGACTCTGGGATCTTTACAAAATATTAAATATAAATTTTCCAAATGTCCTAATTGAAAATGTATCTTACCATCCCTATAATTTAATCAGTAAAAGTTAGGTAGTACCACCTAGTGGCAGAATGGCATTTATGACATGAAATGTTCAAAACCTCAGAATGAGCTTTGGGTAGGTAGTAGAAGTTAAGTGGCAAACTTGTTAGAAATAGTGACAACACAATTATTTCAAGTTATGATGTTTCAGTAGCAGTCTCTGCAGCACTGGGAACATCACTTTTTTTCCTTGGCCTTGGCATTCCCATCTGCAACACAGTCAGGTTTGACTAGTTTCTTGAGAGCTATTGGAGTCTGTCACACACAGGCTTCCTAATAAACCCAACTTCTGTACAATCAATATAATTTACCTTATATTTTTAGGATATAATTATTCTAAAGTTGTTCTGCACTTCTAAAAACCTATTCCAATAAAAATGTTCATTTCTTGAAAACTCATTAATTTCTATCATTATGCAATGTTTGATCCATTAAATTACATATTAAGATGTAATGCTTTTGTATTAATGATACATAACATTATTAGATAATACCTTTATTTTTGAGATGTGCTAAATAAGCAATAACTCTCTATCTGGAAAAAAGACATTTTTTTCATTTAATAGTTACTAAGTTGGCAGACAATAATAAATAAATAAAACAGGCTCTAATAATGAAAGTGATATTTAATCTACAAAATTCAAGGGTAAGAAAAAATATCTTTAAGAAGTTTCTGCTTGAAGAACTTTACAAAGCAATGGTAACTATTTTGGAAAGCCATCTTAACTCATCTTATGTCACTGATTCTCAAAACTGGGTGAAAGGATTGTTTGGGCTAAGGGTTATCAAATATCTCTGTAGGGATAGGGAAATGTGAAGTTTGAAAATAAAGAAACATTGCTGTGTCCTACTTGTTTAATTTTAGTCCACAGTCATTCAACAAATAGGTATTGAACACCTAACCTATAGCAGGGACATTGCAGTCATCATGAGCAACTATATTTTGAAATCTCAAATAAACACTAAAGGAGGCTGGGGGACATTTATGACTGTTAATTAAAAACACATATTATGCAACTTTAAGAAATACTAACGAACAAGTGATCACCTGGAAAAAAATGCATCTATTCTGATCTGCAGAATTTCCCAGCAAGGTAATCTCAAGAATCTTTAGATACTTAAAACCCAAGGAAAGAACTAATGAGAAAAAGAGGCAGATGTGGGTGTGGAGAGGGGCGAGGGGTAATTTTCCTATAAAGACTGAGGCATTTGAACACAACACAAAAATACTGACTAGATATTAACTAATAATTACTCATTTTCTGTTTGACCAAGAAATATTTTTGAAGTTTTTGTTTTCTTGGGGTAATGGTAAAAAAGGCCTTGGAAGGAAAGCATACTCCTGTTCTCGGGTACCTGTTCCCAGGAACATGACATCATACTGTCCGTCTTCTGCGACCACATGATCCACCACGATCTGCGTCAGCCTGTAGTCCACGTTGATTCGCTTGAATGTTGGCCCTCCGGCCACGGGATACACTGACTTATACATCACAGGGTGCCGCTTGATGAAACTGACCACGTCGTCTGGAAAATCTCGGGTGGACTTGATCAGCGGGTCATAGGTCTTGCTTGGACACTGGAAAGAAACGAGGGCGGTGTTGTTCATGCACCTGAGAAATTCCCACTTCCTTCTAATAAAAAGTCTTATCACAAATAACATTAAAGGAATAGTGAACAGGATCAGTGTGGAGTCACTTGTACTTATAAGAAATGCAGTTTACCTCAAACATAGCTAAATCCAATCTTTTCTCACCAAATATTATAAATTATATGTATTTATCTGTACTTTCTAAAGTTTCCACAGCAAGTTTTGCTCCCATGAAGATTTTTATTTCTTATAAAAATACATAAGGTTTTAGTAGAAATAATTATGAAGAAAGGAATCTAAACATGGGGATGTGAGAAACCATTATTTTCAATTTCTTTCAATTAATTTAAGATTTCAGTTTTAAATTAAAACTATAATTATAACTGGTGTGGAAATTAATACAGTGAACAACTGAATACTTCTTCCCCTAAAAGATCTCTGAAACTTTCTCCCTTCTGTCTAAAACTGCCTGGGTGCCTTTTAGTGTCCACCAATTCAACACTTAGCATACCCTGCCCCCTGGTGGAAAAGAGAAAAATTCCCACTAGTTCAATTAAATGATTTGTTATCTTTATCCAAAGAACATAAATAGATAATTACTTTATAATGACTCTTTTTAGTACATATCTCCACTTCTATATTCTAAACCTATTTTACAATTTTGGTATACTGTAATTTAGTAAATTATTGCAGAATAATTCTGTTATCTCATTTGAATTCAACAAGCTAATACATTCTTTTGGAATAGAAAACTTTGGCTATATGATGCAGGCATGGAGAAGAAAATGAGTGACACTGAGGAAAACTTTTAAGAACGTGCTGCTTTCTCCATATTTTAGTTTTCTGACAAGTTGGAAATAATTTCCACTGAACTGAACCATTTATACTAGGCAGACATTAATTAAAATCATGTAAAAACTCCAAAATACACTATACTTTTTGGTTAAAGCATTCAATAGGGTCATTCTCAGGGAACTGATATCTTTAAAGGCACAATATATGACCCTGGCCCAATATTACACCAATGGCTCAGTAAATTTAAAAAAATATTTTTTTTAAAAGTTGTACAAAAGACTCTGTTAATGATTTTTTAAATTCATTTGAAAATATCTTTATCACAAAAAAACACACACACATCTTAATAAACCGATCTTTTCTTGATATCTATCTATCTGTCCCAGGCCTGCACCAAAGAGGTTAGAAATATCCTAGAATATTACTCATCTGGTAATTACTTAGCATATTCTCAGCTGGATGCTGGTCTAAAGATCTAAGTCTGTGTCTGCAGGCACTGCTTCTAGCACTCAGGCTTCAGCCGAGTGCAATGTCAACTCTGTAATGGAAGGAACCCCATATTAAATAGATTAAGCTGCAACTCAAAATGGATATGGAGCTCAAATGATTCAAAGCTTTTGCCCAATTAGAGGCTGCATGTTTGAGGCCCAGTTAAAGGCAATTTATAGTGAGCTTATAGCTTACAATGCCTGCGGTACAATCTGGCTGGCCTGTCATTAAAATCAAAGCAAAAGCAAGATTTTGCCTGCATTATGTTTTCGAAACAGTCCTCCAACTTAAGAAGAAAAAAGAAGTCTTTTGACTTTGCAGCTGTAGTTATGCAGTAGCCAAAATTTCAAAAGGAATATGACATTGATACCACAGTTTTTGATATTGAATTTTCAAATAATTAGGAATTTTACTGTGAGAAAGGATAGATGAATGAAGATACGAACATTTAGTAAAGAAACAAGTAGGACAATTTTCCTCATTGCTCACCACTGACAAAAAGGTTTAAGTGTAATAAAATCTAAGAAAAAAAAGAGAAGAAGGAAAACCTGGTTTCTATTGACTATTATAAAATGATCTTTGAAAATGTATGTTGTTTTATGGCAGCTTTTCCTCATGGCATGCTGCCAATGTTTGCATAAGATCTTGTTCCTCTAGGTTGCTGCCCGTGATCTCCCAGGTCCACTATGCTTTCACAAATGAAAGTGATTTGGTAGAGTTGCTCCCTGAGGTTTAAGATAGTACAGTTCGAACCAAATATTGTTATTGTAGTACATTAAAAACCGGAGGAATTTTTCCTTTGATATCATATAGCTGTGTAGCACACCGATCGAAAAATAACCTTGAGAGGCTAAGCAAAGGATGCAGGTAAGGGAAAAACAGAAAGAAAAACCCCGCAAAGAAGAGGAGAGTGTGGGAAACTGGCACATCTAAAGCACACGAGCATATTCGACTGTTTTCCTTCAGAAAATCCTATAAAATTTTCCTATTGCAGCTTTATATACCAGGTATTAAAAATCTAGTGGATTTTTCTCTGCATGTATATAAATTTTTTTAAAATGCTTTTATTGATTTCAGAGAGAGGAAAGGAGAGATGAGAAATATAGATGATGAGAGAGAGTCATTGATCGGCTGCCTCCTGCACGCCCCCCACTGGGGATCGAACCCGCAACCGGGCATGTGCCCTGACCGGGAATCGAACCACGATCTCCTGGTTCAACCACTGAGCCACGCCAGCCAGGGCTGTATACACTTTTTTTAAAAATTTATCTTTATTGTTGAGAGGAGTATTACAGATGTCCTCCCCTTTTTTCCTACGAATTAACATGGTCCATCTGAATATACTGTAGAGGTCCATTTATTTCTGCCTCCAGCTTTCTATCATCTGCTTCACTTCCACTAATTTAGCTCCTATGACTGTAGGGAACAAATCAAGGAGCTTATCTGTGTCTCCATCTTCTGTTTTGAAAACTCTAAGATAGATTAAAATTTGAGGGGGGAGAAGAAGAGAGCAATTAACAAAAGCTTAAATGTCACGATCTGGCTGGAAATAATACCGGCAAAAGGGCAGAAGAGAAAAGAGACCTGCCCAGACACACCACGAGATGAAAGGGTAAACCCCACGCAACAAGCCGGGGTTCAGGGCCTATCTCTCGTGGCTGGCGGCCACAGCTGGCTAGGTGTGATCATGTTATGCTTGGCAGATCTGTGTGTTTGTAGAGGGCCTTTAGTAGTGTAGTGGGAAGCAATGGATAAGAGAAGAAAAATGGTTTTTATCCAATGAGAGAACTTTGCCCCTTGGCCAGGCACCAGACAGCTGTTACAAGTTTTCTCCCCCTAATGCTTCAGGCTATTCTCTGCAGGTCGCAGTTTCCTTTTAAACAAATCAGAAGAATGACTAACATGAGGGAAGAATTGGCACAAGGAAAAAACTAAACCAGGCTTTCATTTCTAGCAAACTGGGAAAAATAAACTAAAACGCAGGAAAAAAAAGTCAGATTTTTATTCATAAAGTAAAAAATGCAGATTTAATAGGGACCATCCTATCCTTGGCTTATTCAGTTCAGAGTCAGTTTATAACAGCCATGGACCAGGAAAGATCCTACATTCAATATCAGAGAGAAAGGCCAGGGGTACAAATGCAGAGGTAAATTTGTCTCCCTCTTTCTTTTTAAGGTTCCCTTTCCTTTAGAGGAATTTCTATACCAGAAAAAGAAAAACACTGTTGAACATAATAGGTAGTCTGGGATTTGGAGAAACTAATTTTAAAAGTGAATGTTGGCTCTATGGAAAAGAAAGTTAAAATCAGTTGCCTCTCATCATTTCCAAGAAACACAGCCTACGCACTGCCAAAGGGAAGTGAAAGCGATGTTTTGTCATATATCCCCTTCCATGTAGCCAGTGTTAGGAATTTGGCATCAGGAGGCCCAGATTCCGGTCCTGCCTCTGATTCCAAAATCCAAAACCTAAGAGGACTAGAATTAAAGACATCCTCGGTAATTTGGAGAAGCAATGACAAAGTAATAGCTTGTTATCTAACAAGTGGAAGGCCAGGCAGTGAATGCTGAGGAGAAAATAGAACTATGCATTTTCACATGACAGAGAGATGTCTAAGAGCCAGTGATGCATAAAATGAGATTTCCCTAAAGTTTTCCACAGATTTTAAATTAGGAAAACCTTACTTAAAACAAAACAACTAAACAAACAACAAAATGCTAGCTACATTCCTCAGGTGCATAAATAAGAAGATGGCATGAGACACTGTGAGAGAATTCTTCTGTATTTTTCAGTCCCCGTTGGTAAGACTGACAGCCTAACACTCCACAGATCGAAAGGAAGTTTAGGATACTATTTGTAAATTACGTATTTTCTTTGGTCAGGCATACTTATGTTTGTAAGTCAACCTTTAAACATCTCTTATTTACAATATAAACAAGAAAATACTTATTTATCAAATTTAGGAAATTAATGAAGACGTAAAATTCTGAGAATCATCAGCTCTCTAAGAAAATGTGACCGTGCAAAAGCCAAATATTTTAGGTACGTCAGGAGAGAAAATAGGGCACCCAAAGAGTTTTGGAACGTGTGGATTCCATAGTCATCTCAAACCCCTGCTGTTTCCAGGGTAAGTCGGGATTTCTCAGCAATCATTCTGGTTCTAGGTTAAGCACCATTACAGATACAGATGTGTCTGCTGGATAGATTGAGTTATTGACATTAGGTAGCACTATTCTATGATGCAATCCCTCCAGGAATTGCTTTGTTAAAGCAAGATCATAAACCGGTCTCAGTTAAGGCAATGCTTATCTGGCATGTGAAAGTAAAAAATGCCTTTCTAGAACATGTGGATATGCCAGGGCCCAGAGCTGGGCCACAGGAGCATATTTGGTATGATGAACTTTTCAGTGAATCTGGAATCAAAACAACTTTGTGATTTTTCAATGTCTTTTATAGTGTTAGAAAATCTAATAATGTGATAGAAAATAAATTAGGTATATTACACCTATCCACGTCCACAACCTCAGTTTGGAGATTTCATCTCACGGCAGAAGGGCCCTACTGTAAAGGGAGGAAACTATTTCTCCTTTACATTTGATTTTCTCAGAGGAATTGCACATAGTGGGGCTTCCTGTTTAGTGAAGATTTGAAATGTTACACAGAGGCAGAGATTTCATTAGTTTACATTAAGTGGTAGGTGCAAACAT